AATCTATATATATATATATATATATACACGCCAAGGATGAGGATGAGGGACAAGATGCTGTGGCGAAGCGAAGCGAGCCAACAATATCTTGTGTATATATATATAAATAGAAGAGATGGCAACGTTTCAAAGACACCTGATTGGGCGACGGGCAAATGCAATGCTTAGTGTATCTATCTTGATGTACCGTGCCGCGGGCTGTGCTGTGCAGCGCTGTGCGGGCGCACGTGGCCACCCCCAGTGGGGCCTTTGGTGGAGCTCCCTATGGGGCCACGGAACGCCTTACGGGTTGTGGCGGACGCACGCGGGCACCCCCAATGATGATGGCGATGGCGATGACGATGACGATGGCGATGATTCTATGATGATGACGATGATGATGATGACGATGATGATGATGCTGATGCTGATGATGATGACGATGACGATGACGATGATGATGATGATGATGATGATGATGATGATGATGATGATGATGATGATGATGATGATGATGATGATGATGATGATTATGATGATGGAGAAAACGCGTTTCACGGGCGCTTGCCTTGGGAACATTCGGCGGCGCGTTCCAAACCGGGGGGTGGGCCCCCCCCACACTCGGCGCCGTAGATCAAAACCAAGGGGACTCCCCTCTCCCCAACACCCCCCACTTCCGCCCCCTCCCAAGTGGGGGGGGGGTTCAACCCCCCCCCCCCTTGGCGCCGGCGTCGGCGCTGGCGGCCGCCAACAGCGCCGACGGCGGGGACGCAGCGACGATGACCAGAGGCAGCCCAGGGGTGGGGGGTTCAACCCCCCCCCCCTTCCCAAGGGCATCACTAAGTAAATTGTAGCGGCGTCCTTGGTGCAGCGTGTTCCCTGAGCGTCGAAAGCGCGATTTCCGAATAAATTCCATGGGAGTCACAGGCGAGAGCGCGACTCCTGAATCAAATGTGAGGGGTTCTCTGGCGGGGGCGGGGGTCTTGATGGAATTGCGAAGAAGTCTTGACTCAATTGCGAAAAAGTCTCAAGCGGGAGCGCCGTTCCTGAGTAAATTGTGAGGAAGTCTCAGATGGGAGCGGGGGTCCTGACTAAATTGCGAGGGGGTCACAGGCGGAAGCACCGATCCTGAGTAAATTGTGAGGAAGTCTCAGGAACGGGGGTCCTGAGTAAATTTGGAGGAAGTCTCAGGCGGGAGCCGTTGTTGTTGTAATCTGGGGGTCCAGGGGCCCAGTTTGAGCAGGAAGACGTGCGAGCGTCGAGGAGCATACTTTGATTGAAAAAACAACATGCACAGGTGAAGGGAGATCAGCAATAATTATTCTTCAGAAGCGCGAGTTCAACAGCAACATTTGCAACACCAGCTGTAGAAACAACAGCAACAAGAACAGAAACAACACCAATAACAATAACAACACCTTGAATTTCAAGACTGTTCGCTCTGATCTGCTCGCGTGCCACTTAGCATGTATATCCCGAGCCCTCGATACCCGCCCTCTTTGTGCTCGGTCCGACCCTCGTGGGGCAATATGTTTCATCCTGCAGCGCGTATTTCGTGCAGCCCTTAAGGCAGGGGAGGAGAGGACGGATGGAAAGAAGGGGCACAAGGGAGGGAGGAGGATGAAACATGAGGTGGCAGAACCAGACGGGCTGATCGGGCGGGTAGACCCCAACGGGCAGGTCGGGAAGGTGGGCCCAGGCGGCCAGGTCGAGCAGGCGGGTTGCTGAAGCGTGCGTCCGGCACGAATCGCGAGGAAGTCCCGAACGACAAGCGATTCCCAAATAAATCGTGAGGATGTCCACAGCCAGAGCGAGACTCCTGAGTGTCGAGAGCGCGGCGTCTGAGTAAGTTGGGAGGAAGTCCTAAGCGAAAAGGCGCTTCCTGTATAAATTGAAAAGTATCAGGCTATCAGGCGTGCGCCGCTGTAGTTGTAATCCAAACCCCGACAACACAATTTGGTGACACCTCGCTTCAGCTTGTAAAAAACAGGGTGCGAGCCCCAGGAAAGGCACTTGACTTGAACAAATTGAATGGCTAGCGTGGAGGAGTGAACAACAACAAATATCTTTGTACATGCAACTTCAATAAAAACAAGAATAACAACCACCATAACAGCAACGACAACAACAAAAACAAGTATTTCGATTCGAGCGATGCCCACAAAAACTTCGGCTTTTGTTCCCAACGGGACGCGCACCTACTAGAACGATGTGCGCGGGGCCCGGCGGTCTCGGCCAGCGCGGCGGCCAGGCCAGGTCGCAAGCTGATGTTCCCGAATATGCAACAACCCCGGGGCCCCTGACGAAAGAAACCGAAGCGAGTTCCTGCGTCTTGCGAGGCCCCAGAACTTGCTGCTCACCTCCTCCTCCCCGAATGCTGTGATCGATCAGTGTCTACTCGTCCATGCTGCAGTGTGAAATGTTGTGTTGTCGACGGGGCGGCGTGGCGCCGTGATGCCTGTCACCTTTAGATGCAGCGTCCGATCGGCATGTTCTGCGCCTGTTTGTACCTGTGGCCAGGCTCGGCGCGTACGTCACGCTTGATCCTCTTACGGTACGGCCTGTTGTGTTATGAAGTGTCTCTTCAAGTTTGAGCTTCTCTTGAGTTCGAATATGCTCTGTTCTTGTCACCTCTGTCACGGTATGATTTGTTATGCTATGAAATGCTCTGCTCTGTGGCGCCACGTTCTGACATGATACGTATGCGTTCCCAGGCTAGGTCATGTCATGCTATTACCTGTGATGCTTTTAAAGGTATGCTCAGTTCGATATAGTATATGATGATGTGATCTACTATGACAGACCTCTTTCATGAAGCTATAACCAGTCATGTTATATCTAAATCGTTGGCGTAGGGGTAGTCGTAGTACAACGATTTTGCTGTGTAGTGCTGGGTTATGGTGGACTCGATTTGTGAAATAATGATAATTTGGACATATTATACTCTGTTGTGCTCTATTATGTTAGTTATGTTCTCAACGGGCCCACGTGACGCCGTGACGCCTGTCACGACACATACGTCGTTCGATCGTTTGTTGCTGCGCCTGTTTGCTCCTGTGGTCAGCCTGACTTCGGCGCGCACGTCGCGTTTGACTGTCTTGTATAATGTATTATGTTGTGATGCCCCTATTCACAAATGTCTCTCTTCTGTTAACCTATGAAACATTATGTTCACTTCTGTCACACGGTTGTTCGATATAACATGTGGTGATCTGATATGTGGCACAATGCTACTGCATGCCATGCTCTGCCATGTTGCGCTATATTCCAATATGTGTGATGTCGTTTGCGCTACGTCGTGTTATGTTCAGTCTGTGATGGGATGTCTTGTCAGGTCAGTGTACTCATCTGACTATGCTGAACTCTATGATGTTGCAACACTTGCATTGCAACCGTTGTGTTGCTGTGTCAAAATATGCTCGATGCTGCGTTATGTCATGCATTGTGATGTCCTGACATGCTATGCAATGTTTTGTTATGCTATGATATGACCTTCTAGTCCAACACATGTGATACAACGTGCTGTCATGATATGCGTTGTCATGGTCTATAATGCTCTGTTACGTGATGTTGTCGATAGGGTATGTCGTGGTATGGTTTGGTATGATGCGTTATGCATTGTTCGTTTATGTTGTGTGGTGTGACGGCTTCTCATGCTGTTATGTTAAGATCAATTATGGTATGTTATGATGGGTCGTGGTATGCTATAGTATGTAGGATCGGCTCTGTCATAGCATGCTATGTTCTGGCATTTTTATTGTGTGCAATGCTATGCTGTGCTGATATGCTATGTTACGTGCTGCCATGTAATAACATGTTATGATGCGCTCTGGCAGCGCATGCGTTGTCATGGCATGTTATGTTACGATCTGTATGTCATGATGTAGTGTGTAATGGTGTTGTATGTCGTGCGAGGGCATGCTATGTTGTAATGCGTTGTGTCATGATATGCGCTGTATGCTAAACTCTGTCATTGCATATGTTGTCATATGCTCGTTTATGATATGAGGGTTGATGTTATGCTGTGCGCTGTATGATCCACTCTGTCGTACCATGCGTTGCTATGCTACAGCAACGCTATTGTAAGCTATGTTATGTAATGCTGCGTTGGTTATGTGATGCTCAGTTCTGTCATGTTATGTTACGCTCTGCTCTGTCACATCATGTGATGCTCAGTTCTGTCAGGCTCTGTCGTGTTCGTCGTCGGCGCGAAACGCATGTCGTGAGATATTGGGTGGACCTGGGGATCTGGCGGCCGCGGTATGCAGAAGAATGGCCGGGTCGGCGGGAGGCGGGCGTCTCGGGGGATACTTGGTGGACTTGGGGATCTGGCGGCCGCGGTATGCAGAAGAATGGCCGGGTCGGCGCGAGGCGGGCGTCTCGGGGCATACTCGGTGAACATGGGGATCTGATGGCCGCGGTATGCATGCTGGTCGTGCCGGGAGGCCAATTCTTACGACCTAACGACCCCAACCTGTCAGGCGAAGAAAAAATACCATACAAAGAAACTGCATAAACATGAACTCTCAGAACTCCGCGCGAGCTGCTCGGATCAGCACTGGGCCCCCCACCCCCCCTGGCGCGCGGAGCTCCAGGGGGGAGGAGGCTCGGGGAAAAAGAAAATGTCTAGACATGCCAACTTTCGAAGGGTTCCTTCCTCCAAGGTGGGAGCGTTGTCCCTGCAATCTGGAGGTTCCCGTTATCCTAAATTGAGGTTCGACCTCCACTGGGGAGGCCTTCGATTTTCTGGAAACAACACAATCATGAACTTGTGCAGCTCTTCGCGGAGCGCCGGTGGCGCAGCCAGGGGGATCCCAACGCCGATCCAGGAGAACCGCGCGGACCTGCACTGGAAGGTCGTTGGTCCTCCTGTGAAGCACAAGCTTCCAAAGGTTCGCGCGGATTCTAGCTCAGCCGCTAGGATCCCCCTGGCGGCGCCTCCGCGCGCCAGGGGTGAGAGGCCCAGCGACGATACAAGCAGCCCGCGCGGAACTCCGAAAAACTATACCTGTCCCTCGATCCTCATGGCTCTGGCCCACGGCTCGACGATCTGCTGGCGCTGGGCGTAGGCGACTAGGAGGGCATCCTGGGGGACAAGAGGCACCAATATTGCACTCCCAGGACCTCTCCCCGGGCGCGTTCTGACCAAGATCTCGAGGCGAATGCGGCCGTCGCGACGCGGGCGTCCCATGAGGCCCAATAGGGCGAAAACGAGCCAATGGTTGCGGCATCGGTACCTATTTCCTCCTGACATCCGATGAACCCAAGACGCTCGACTGCTCCAAGCGGCGCAGCGCCAGCAGGCCCAGCAAGCTGCCAGTGGCCAGCGCCAGCCCGCCCGTGCTCTGGCATCCCTCGGCGCTGCAACCCAGCGCGGATGCCGCGAAGAAACACGCGGCGAGCGCGGTGAGCGCCAGCACGAGGAGCGAGTACGCCGCCTGCCGTGGGGGGGGGGGCGCCCACGGACTACCGCACCGATATCCTGGCGGTGCTCGTCCTGGAACCCACGGGTCGGCGCGTACGCCGTGGCTCGGAAATCTGATGCTGCGGCGAAACAAAATGCCAACACTCGCCGAGCCAGATCGATCCGTGATTCGCCCGGCGTGGGTAAACTGCAAAGCCCAGAACTGCTCCTCATCTTCCTCCTCGTCCTCGTCTTCGTCCTCCTCGTCCTCCTCCTCCTCCTCTTCCTCCTCCTCCAACTCATCCACATCCAACTCCTCATCCTCCTCCACCTCTTCCTCCTCCTCCTCCTCCTCCTCGTGATCATCATCATCATCATCATCATCATCATCATCATCATCATCATCATCATCATCATCATCATCATCACCATCATCATCATCATCATCGTCATCGTTATCATCATCGTCCTCATCATCATCCTCCTCTTCTTCATCATCATCATCATCATCATCATCATCATCATCATCATCATCATCATCATCATCATCATCATCATCATCATCATCATCATCATCATAATCATAATCATAACCATCAATCATCACCACCACCATCATCAGCAGCAGCAGCATCAGCATCATCAGTTTCATAATCTTCAGCAACATCATCATCGGCCTTTTTGAGCTCGTCCTCGCCTTTTAATTTTCGCCCGCACCAAAGCCTGCGGACCGCCCCGCCGCCCCGCGGCGCACCCGCCGCGCCGCCAGGGCAACGTGCCGCAGAGGCGCAGCCACAAGGGCGCGCCCACGCCCTGCTCGGAGCTCAACTCGTCCGCTGCGGAATAGCAGCTGCTGGCCGGGTCCTGGGCGCAGTTCGACCGAACCCTATCCCCACTGGTTTGGTTCTGGCCCCGCTGGCCGACTCGCCCACGTGGGTGGGCTATGTGCCCTTTCCCTCGGGCTTCACGGGGCTCAATGAGAATGGACGATGAAGAAAAGCAGAGAAGGGAGACGATTTAAGAAATAGTTTCGCTGGACCCCTGGCCCCCGTCATAGCGACTCCAGGAGCTCGGCCCATGGAAAGCGGTCAATTCGGGTTGGCCCCCGGGCCGTCCTGAAAGCCAGGGGAAGCCAAAGGGGTGACAATTCGGAGCGGCGGGAGTGGCTATTGGGACTGGTCAAAGGCACACCCTGCCTCTGGCGCGGGCACGCGTCTTGAAGTCATCGGGGGACGATGGCCGACGGGCGACGACGACAACGACGACGGCGGACTGCGACTGGCATGCGAAGGGGGACACTGTGTGGGCGTCTTGCAATCTTGGGGCGACGACGACGGCGGACGACGACGACGCACTGCGGATGGCATAGGGGGGGGAAGGGAGGGTAGAGGGTGTGTGTGTGTGTGTGTGTGTGCGTGCGTGCGTGTGTATGTGTGTGGATGTGTGTGTGCGTGTGTGCGTGGGCATGAGTGTGTGTGTGCATGTGTGTGCGCGAGCGTGTGTGTGTGTCTGTGTGTGTGTGTTGTGTGTTGTGTGTTGTGTGTGTGTGTGTTGTGTTGTGTTTGTGTTGTGTTGTGTGTGTGTGCGTGCGTGCGTGTGTTGTGTGTGTGTGTGTGTGCGTGTGCGTGTGTGTGTGTGCGTGTGCGTGTGACTGTGCGTGTGCGTGTGACTGTGGTGCGTGTGTGGTGCGTGGTGTGTGCGTGCGTGCGTGCGCGTGTGTGTAGGTGTGTGTTCTTGTGTGCGTACGCGTGCGCGTGCGACTGCGCTGCGCGTGCGCGTGCACGTACGTGTGCGTGTGCGTGTGCGTGCGTGTGCGTGTGCGTGTGTGTGTGTGTGTATGTGTGTGTGTGCGTGCGTGTGTGTGCGCGTGTGCGCGTGCGCGTGCGCGTGTGCGTGCGTGTGCGCGTGCGCGTGTGCGCGTGTGCGCGCGTGCGCGTAAGCGCGTGTGCGCGTGTGCGCGTGTGCGTGTGCGTGTGCGTGTGCGTGCGCGCGCGCGCGCGCGTGCAAGTGTGCGTGAACGTGAGCGTGAGCGGGTGCGCGTGCGTGTGCGTGTGTGTCAGCGTGCGCGTGCGCGTGTGAGTGTGTGTGTGTGTGCGTGTTTGTGTGTGTTTGCGTGTGTGTGTGTGTATGTGTGTGTGTGCTCGTGCGCGTGCGCGTGCGCGTGCGCGTGCGCGTGCGTGTGCGTGTGCGTGTGTGCGTGTGCGTGTGTGCGTGTGCGTGCGCGTGTGCGTGTACGAGTACGTGTGCGCGTGCGTGTGCGTGCGCGTGTGCGCGTGCGCGTGCGCGTGTGCGCGTGCGCGTGTACGTGTGCGCGTGTGCGTGTGCGTGTGCGTGCACGTGCGCGTGCGCGTGCAAGTTCGCGTGTGCACGTGCGTGAGCGTGAGCGTGAGCGGGTGCGCGTGCGTGTGCGTGTGCGTGTGCGTGTGCGTGTGCGTGGGCGTGTGTGTGTGTGTGCGTATGTGCGTGTATGCGTGTGTGTGTGACTGTGTTTGTGCGTGTGTGTGCGCGCGTGCGTTCGTTCGTTGCCCGCCGAGACCGGGACCGTCGCATCCTCGCACCAGGCTCACGCCAGGCCACCCTCCGAGCGAGACATGCCGGTGACGGTGGCTGAGGGAGAGGTTCGCGGGTGGGGCGCGGTCCACCTGTGCGGCCACCAAGCCATACCGACCAACCACACAATCCCGCACCGACCCGCAGCTCACTCCCAACCACCAGGGCCGGCCTCTTTGCGGAAGTGGACACGCCCAGCCGTGGCTATCATGCATCACAACGCGCAAGAACGAATCAGCTCCCACGACACGGCCAGGCAGGCGTGCGTGCTTGCTGCCGCGGTGTCTTGCCCGCTGTGACGCGGAAGGTGTGCCAGCCCGTTCTGGGTGGTGCAATGGGGTAACACCCCTCCGCGTGACACCGCACAAGGGCTTGCCTGAACATGTGGGCACACGGGTGGGCGAGAGCGCGCCTGCCGTTGGGCCAACATGGGGGGTGGGCACGGGGGAGGAGGAGGGAAGGCGGGAAGGAGAGGGAGGAGGGGGAGGGAAGACAGGAGGGAAAGAGGGGCGCAGAGGAGAAGGAAGAGTACAGGGAGAAAGAGGAGGGATGGAGGCGAGGGGACGCTCAGGAAGGTCTCTTCGACTGAAGTCCCGCTCCGCCGGCACGGCGGGCAGGACCACGACGTGCATGGCGAGCGAAGCCGCCCGCGGCGCAGCTCGCAACCAGCACAAGCAACCCCGCGTCCTCCCAACACCGTTTCTACAGTGATCTTGACGAGCAGCCCGCGCACAACAAGCCCACCATCCAGAGATCAAGAATCGACAGACGGGGAGACGGGCAGAGAAGCAAAACACGAGCATCAAGCCTGGCAGCAGCAACGGGCGACCGCCTCAAAGCAACATAGCAGACGGCGAAGTCCCACGCCATCGAGCCTCAAACCGCGCCACAACGGCTCGGGGCAGCGCCATGGCAGAGAGGACCATGAAAACACATGCCATTACACGACCCGGAAAAGACACAGCAGCGATGCGGGATGGAAAGGGGCTACGTTTCCACCACGGACGGCCGCGGACATCACGGCGCAACAGCACACATCGCAGCGCGCACCACAAAGCTGCGCGTGTGCGTGCGCGCATGGCCACCACAACACAACACGGCACATCACAGCACACAACAGATCAGCACAACACAACACAGCATACCACAGCACACGCCCGTTGATGTGTGTGTTACGGCTTATGACGCTGCGCATCTCTGTCTTACAGTCTCGGGATTAGACAATCTCTTTCGTTGCTGGCAGGTTGCACGCCCAAGGATACTCTCGCACTACAGTTTCGGTGCTTGCAATATTCGGCATGGCTGATGACGTAGCCTATGCACGCTGCGGTTGACATTGTCGCGCGGCGGCCCCTACCCATCCCGCTCCCCTGCGTCGCCGGTCCGTTAAGTGCCACCCTACCTATCAACTCCGTTCACTAGGTTTCCACGCTACCGATCTGCTTTACAGCTTTATTTCTTGCGCTTCACTGCCTAACGCAGCTGTTGTCATTCAGTGGCCGCAATTCTCCGTCGGCTCTCACGCTTCAGTTGGCTCTGAGTTGAATAATCTCCTTGTTTTCTGGCCGCTGCACGTTTCATTTGGACTTACACTTCATCTTTCACACCCATTGCTTGCATGCTGCGGTGTTGTTGCTTGTACCGCGCTGTAGACAACATTCGGTCGCTATTAGCACTTCCATCGGTTGCTCGCGGTTGAGGACCCTCTGCGCCGCCGACTCGAAAGTGTGTGTGTGTGATGCGTGGGCGTCCTGCAGTCCTGGGGCGACGACGGACGACAACGACGACGACGACGACGACAACGACGACGGACTGCGGATGACATGAGGGGGGGGGCGGCGCTGCGTGGGCGTACTGCAGTCTCGAAAGACGAGATGACGACGGACGGCTAAAGCGGACTGACTGCGGATGACATGTGGTGGGGGGTGGTGGTGTTGCGTGGGCATCCGTCGGTCCCGAAGGACGAAACGGCGACGGACGACGACGGCGGACTGCGGATGGAATAAGGGAGGGGGCTGCGCGGGCGTCCTGCAATCCTGGGGAGACGACGACGGACGACGGCGACGGCGACGGCGACGGCGACGACGACGAGGAAGACGACGACGGCGACGACGGCGGCGGCGGCGACGACGACGGCGATGGGATGACGACCGACGGCACGACGGCGGCCAACGCGACGCCCAAAAAAAATCTGGCGGGGAGGAGGGGTACGATTGAAAGGAAAGTGCCGCCCCTCGAATTTGAATCGCCTGCCCTGTGCCCTACACGATGCAAAGGCCGCCCCTCAGGACGCGGGGGGCACTTTTGTAATCCTCCATCATCCCCACCCGAACAGCGAAAAGACATGGGTCTTACACGAGGAGACATAGCGACATCGCGCTGCGGCTCACGCGGGCCACCCGCACGGCACACCGCGTGGAGAACAGAGGGCGCTCACGTGCGACCTCACGCGGGGAGCTCACGCGCGAACGCGCCATGGGCCGGCGGGGATGGGGACGGGGTTGCACGATGCCGAGGTCCAGCGCTGGCGGCTTGTGGACCACCGCCCCGAGGAGCCCGTCCTCGCGGCGCTGCCGCAGCTTCTGCACCGTGGGGGCGCCCTCCTCGGCCGCGGCGGCGCCGTCAGGGAGCGACCACCGCGGCCGGCTGGGCTTGCCGATGGTGGCGAGGGAGCTGGTGGGCTCCTGCGGGAGAAGAAGATCCCCTTGGCGGCGCGCAAAAGGGGGTAGGGGGAGGGGGGAAGGCTTCTTAGAAGCACCCTGCTTCTCAGAAGGCCTCGGCCTTACGTCTATAGAGAAGGCCCGCGCCTTCTAAGAAGCAGGGGTGCTTCTAAGAAGCCTTCCCCACTCCGCCTACCCCTCTCTGCGCGCCGCCAATCCCCAGACGTGCTCGCGTCGTGAAGACATCACGGCGGGAGGTGGTCGGTGCTTTTCGACCTCCGGGGGCCCTCGCCGTGCCCCGGGACCTTCCAGGACCGACTCGGGACGAAAAAGCAGTCCTGGGGGAAAGGGTCGGGATTTCCAGAGGCCCCGCATTTTAAGCATCAAGACATCGCATGTCTGGGTCTGCACGGCCCAAGAGGACCGAACACCTCCATTCTGGAGGTCGAGCCTCTACCCCGAGTGGCGAAAAACCTCCCCAGAGCGGATGGGGAGAGGCCTCCAGGATGGAAGTCGGACCTCCATGTGTGAAGGGACACCAGGACACACAAATAAATACACACAAATAAAAGGATCCCCCATATTTTCCCATAGTTCCTGGGTTTTTGTCTTCCCCCCCAATCCCCACATTTTCCCATATTTTTGAGGGAATCGACGATGAATTGTGTCTGTGTGTTTTTCCCCTCCTGAAGGATGGAAGTCGGACCTCCGTGTTGAAGGCTTTGACCCCCCTGGGTCCGCGCGGATCTCCTGGATCGGCGCTGGAAACCTTCTGGGGCGCCTCTGGCGCCGCCCCCTGCCGCGCTCCGCACGACACTGGTGGGAATCCCAGCGCCGAGCCGAGGAATCTGCGCGGCCCTCTGAGAGCTTCTCGTGCCTGCGCCGTTCCCCGAGGATCGAAAACCTCCATTCTGGAGGTCGGACCTCCATCCTAGAGGACGGGAACCGTCAGAACATGTCAGAATGCATGTACAGAATCTCCACTGTACAGTTACAGTGAAGGGGCCCTGGGACACACAAATAAATACACACCAATAAAACTATTCCCTATATTTTCCTGTATTTTCTGGGTTTCTGTCTCCCCCCCCACTTCGCATATGTTCCTACATCTTCCTGGGAGTCGGCGATGAATTGTGTCTGTGTGTGTTTCCCCTCCGGATGCAGGACGCAAGTACCTCCGACTTTTGCTGTGCCTCGCAAACTTCCCTTTGTCGATCCTGCTCGCCCCAGTCGGCGCGCCCCGCCCCGCCCGCGCTCGCGTCGCAGGCGCTCGCCGACGGGGCGCCGTCGGCACCGGCGGCGGCGCCCAGGTGCGCGCCCGCCGCCGGGCCCTCGCTGCCGAGGGGCACGGCCGCGCGGGGGCTGGAGGCGCCCTCCCGCTGCCCCGTGAAGAGGAGGTTGTTGCTGGGGGTCGGGTTGACCTCGGTGGTGACGAGCCTCATGCCCCTGCGCGGAGGAGGGCAGCACACCACTCGTCGCCACGGCCGGCGCGGGGTTCGCCTCGGAAAACTCTGGTCAGAACGTGCCCCCCAGACGAGGCCCAGGGAGTGGCGGCATCGGCACCTTTCTGTCCTCCCCCACCTGTAGCTGCACTCGGACAGCGGCAGGCTGTACTGGAAGCTCCTGGCAGTCGACTGGCTCCTCGCGCCGCTGTCGTCGGCCGCGCGCCCGCTCTCGGACGGCGCCTCCTCCTGCCCGCCCTCCGTGCAGCTGGAGCTGCTGTACCGCTGCAGCAGCGGGGGCAGCGCCGGCTGCAGGCCCCGCGGCATCCAGGAGAGGCCCGGGCCGAGCTGCCGCGGCGATCCGCTGCCGCAGCTGCCCGCCGGCACGTCGCCGGAGGGCGCGGGCACGGCGCCCACGAGGTCCGAGAACTCCCCGCCCACGGGCCGCGGGCCTCTGGGTCCGCGGCGTGCCTCGGACGCGGCGACGACGGCAGCGGCGACGAGGGCGACGCCGACCGTGGTGAGGACGAGGACGAGGACGAGGACGAGGACGAGGACGACGACGGCCGCGGCGGCGGCGGCGCCAGGCCTCCAGCTCCGCGGCGTGCCCGCCGTCGGGGCCGCCGGGGCCGCCCGCTCGCGCGGGCGCCTGCGTGCGCTGCGGGCCGACCTTCGGGCTGGGAGACTCCGGCGGGTCCTCGTCGACGTCCAGCGGCATCGACGGGAGCTCTGGGCAGGTCATGGACTCGCCGCGGTCGCTCGGTACGGGAACTGGGCAGCAGTCGCCGCGGGCTTCCGACTTCGAGGCGCAGACGGGCGGCGAGTCGCTGCTGAGTCTGGCCGTCATGTCCGGTAGGGTCTTCTTCTGCCACAGGCCCGACTGCAGCAGCTCCCTGGCCCGGGCGTCCTCGAACGACCTGACCCCGCCGCGCCTGGCAGCAGGGCCAGCCTTGTCCCTCGAGGCCGGGCTCGCCATGCCGACCGGGCGCGTCAGGATCTGGAACACGGAGCCCGAGTTCATTTTCGACATGGTGCTCTCGGGCAGTGCCGCTGCCTCCATCGGGCAGCCCGGCGCAGGCTTGTCCGCCGCCACGCCTCCCAGCCCGCAGTGCAACGTCCCGTACTCGGGCGCGTCCTGGGGCACCGCGGAGGAGAGGTCGTACTGCGCCAGAGAGGCGTCGAGCAGGCCCTTGATGGCCTTGAGCAGTCGCTTCTCCTGCTCCTCCAGCAGCTGCCCCATGACCCCCCTGAACCAGAGGAAGAAACAAAAACTGCGCGAGCGCTAACTTTCGGAGTTCCTCTCGGACCGTCGAGAGTGCGTGCCCAGACATGCAACGGCTTGAGGTGTTTCAATGCGCTGTCCCCGGAAGTCCGAACCCGTCCCCCAAGGCCGGCGCTTCGTCCCGACTCCTTCTTTGACGGCCCCCTGGCCGCGCGAGGGCCCTCGCAGGCCGAAACCGGCAAAAACCCTCCCGTCGCGTTCATGTTCCCTACGCGAACTTGTCTGGGTGTTTGTGTCGCGTTTTCTTGCCCGTCCTCAGCGCGTCCCTCACCTCGCCGTCGGGCGGATGGCCTGGGCCGCCAGCCGCCCTCGTGGACCCCATAGTTGAGGCCGCGAGGGCCGCGCCCGCCGGCGCTTCGCTGCTCCTGCGCTCCCGGCACGCCCGTCGCCGCCGCGGCGCCTCCCAGCGCCCTCCACGTCGAGCCGAAATGGTTACGGTCAACCTCATCCTGCTCCTGCTGTTGCTGCTGCTACTGCTGCTGCTGCTGCTGTTCCTCCTCCTCCTCCTCCTCCTCCTCCTCCTCCTCCTCCTCCTCCTCCTCCTCCTCCCCGTCGAGCTAGAATGGTTATGCACCTCCTTTTGCTCTTCATTTACGTGAGGCAGACTTGGATCGGCTATGATCGTAGCGTTCGTTCTTCCTCCTCCTCCTCCTCCTCCTCCTCCTCCTCCTCCTCCTCCTCCTCCTCCTCCTTCGTCTCCTTCTCCTCCTCCTCCTCCTCCTCTTCCTCCTGCTCCTGTTCCTGCTCTTGCTCCTAGAACGCTCTCGTCGAGGCGCAGCTGCTGGAAGGCACCCCGAGGCCGGGCGAGGGCCCCCGAGGGCAGCACCAGGGGCCACCAGAAACCCGGGGGCCCTCTGCCGAGCCTGCGAAAAACGTCGCCCCGAGAACGGCAGGCTCGTGCCATTGACGACTCTGGCGCTGGTTTGGGAGGCCTAGAGGTTGACACCAACACCAATATCGGCGGTGTGCCTCCACCGTGGGAAGGTGCTCCCGATCTCGGTGATGGTGGCAATATTTCGGCGTCCTAGGTGGCCTAGGTGATGACTGAGCGCTCGAGCGAAGGGAACCCCGCCCTGCCCCTCAGAAATCGTGGGGGGCAGGGGCAGGGCTCGCACGTGGCCCCCTTATAGACTCTGGCGCTGGCTTCTGACGCCGCGCGGACCGTTCGGCCCTGAACAGGTCGGCTGCCCTTCGACAGCCAGATCGTTCTACATTGGCCGATTCTGGGCCACTGGCAGTGGTCAACCTCGAACGCCCGCGCCGGGGTCGCCGCCGCGTCGACACGACAAGAACCTGCCCCACTTACGACATCGCCCAAAAAGGACGGCGGCGCCGAGGTCACAGGTCGGCTACACGCAAGAGTGACCCTAGGTAACAGTGACCGTCGGTGTGCGGCTTCGGGGGGCTGCGGGTGGGCAAGATCCAAACGCGCGGGCCGTGCCTGGGGGACCCTGGTGGGCCCTGGGCGTCGCTTCGTGGGGGGCGATAAATGAGGGGGGAGGGGGGGAAAGAAAAGTGCCCCATTAAGGGCCCAAAAAGGCCTCTTTCCTACAGCCCTCGCTGCCCCGCATTTTATCCCCGCCCCGCTACGCGACGCCCAAGGGCCCGCACCAGACCCAGAAACGACGAGGGAGGAGGGAGGACGGCGACGACGCGAACGACGAAGGAGGTAGGACGGCGACGCCGGCGACGACAACAACGAGGGAGGAGAGAAGACGACGACGACGACGACGACGACGACGACGACGACGACGGCGACGGAATAGGAGGAACGACGACGAGACGCCGACGACGGACGACGACGACGAGGGAGGACGAGGAAGGACGACCACGGCGACAACGACGACGGAAACGACCACGACGCCAAAGAGGACGAAGACGACGACGACGAGGAAGGACAGAGGACGACGACGGCGACGACGACGACGACGACGAGGGAGGAGGGAGGACGGCGACGACGACGACGACGACGCAAGAGCGCGCGCGCACGCTTTTGTTGAAAATCCGTGTTGCGAAACCTTATGTTTTTGTATGTTTTTTTGACACACGATTTTGAAATCCTTCCGAAACCGAGCGCTTTTGAAGGGTTCCAGCATGCGCGCGCGACGACGCGCGCGTCTGCACTCAGTCCCGTTTTTTTTTGCAAAGGATTCTCGCGACGGCACGCGCGCAATGGCGTTCGAAAGATTTCGACATGCGCGCGTGCGCGATGCCCGTCTGATAATATGTTTCAAAATATTGGAAAATACCTTTTGTTTTCTTAAGATTTCGCAAGAGCACGCGCGTAAGCTTTTTTAGAACATCTGTGGTGTGAAACCCTATGTGTTTGCATGTGTTTTGGAAACTCGATTGCGAAATCCCTCCGAAACCGATAGATTATGAAGGATTTTTGCATGCGCGCACGACGACGCGCGCGTGTGCACTTCGCCCCGTTCTTGTGCAAGGGATTCATGAAAATTTATGATTGTTTATAAACGAATGTGCGCGCATAATCGTTTTTGCAGAGGATGGCGGGGGGGGATACCGGCCTGGCTGGGATAATATGAGTTCATATTTAGGATGGACGAATGTGCGGAATCATATGTAGATTGCGATACGAAAAGGTATAATGTTAACTCTGGGGGGGTAGAGTCTATTCTTCTTTTAGAAAGGAGAACGAATTTCTGTTCGCAATGAGTTGTCCACTGAAATGCTCGCGCAAATATCCCACCTGCCCACCCGCAACTTTGTTTGCAAACCCCATGCGGCAGCGATTGCGATGAGTTCTTGGCGCTGGCTGGCGCATGTGTAATTCCCAATGGCACTTGGCAGCGGCACTGACGCCGACGACGACAGCGACAAAGACAACGACGACGACACCGACGACGACTACGACGACGACGACTCCGACGACGACTCCGACGACTTCGACGACGACGACAAAGACGACGACGACGACAGCAACGACGACGAAGACGCCGACGCCGACGACGACGACGACGATGACGACGCCGACGACGATGACGCCGACGCCGCCGACGCCGACGACGACGCCGACGACGACAACGACGCCGACGACCTCGACGACGACGACGAAGACGACGACGACGACGACGACGACGTCGCCAATGAAGGCGACGACGACGACGAGGGAGGAGGGAGGACGACGACGGCAACAACGACGACAACGACGAGGGAGGAGGGAGGACGGCGACGACGCGAACGACGAAGCAGGAGGGAGGACGGCGACGCACGACGACAACGACGAGGGAGGAGGGAAGACGACGACGACGACGACGACGACGACGACGACGACGGCGACGGAATAGGAGGAACGACGACGAGAGACGCCGACGACGGACGACGACGACGACGACGAGAGAGGAGGAAGGACGACCACGGCGACAACGACGACGGAAACGACGACGACGCCAAAGAGGACGAAGACGACGACGACGACAAGGAAAGACGGGACGACGACGGCGACGACGACGACGACGAGGGAGGAGGGACGACGGCGACGACGACGACGACGCAAGAGCGCACGCGCACGCTTTTGTTGAACATCCGTGTTGCGAAACCCCGTGTTTGTTATATGCTTGTTGGACACTCGATTTGGAAATCCTTCCGACACCGAGTTTTGGAAGAATTTCGGCATGCGCGCGCGACAACGCGCGCGCATCCACTTCGTTCAGTTGTTTTGCAGGTGATTCTCGCGACGGCACGCGAGCACGGGCGTTCTAACGAGTTCAACATGCGCGCGCGAAGCCCGTTTGGTAGCATTGTCGGAAAGTATGTAACACCAATGGCTTTCGTAAGAATTCACAAAAGCGCGCATGTTGTTTTGTTTGAGAATCCGTGTTGCGAAACCGTGTGTTTTTGGTATTTTTCTTGGACACTCGATTTTGAAATCCTTCCGAAACCGATAGTATTGAAGGATTCTGGCATGCGCGCGCGACGACGCGCGCGTGCGCACTTCGTCCAATTTTGTGCAAGGGATTCTTGGAAACTTGTGTTTTTTGATAAACGAGTATGCGCGCACAGTATTTCTTGCAAGGGAACTGAGGGGGGTCGATACTGGTTTGGCTGGGATAGTATGAGATCAGAGGTAAGATGGACATTGGGTCAGAATCCTATGTGTTTTGTATCGGTTCCCGAGGGGTCTATAAGTCCGGGGGAGGGGGTAGAACGTATTTTTCTTCAGAAAGGAGAATTAATGTGTTCGCAATGAGTTGTCCACTCCACTGCTCGTGCACAGTCCCACCCACCTATCCGCAACTTGGTTTGCAACCCCCATGCGGCAGCGATTGCGATGAGTGCTCGGCGCTGGTGCATCTCTGCGGCCGCGCCAGCCCGCGCATGCGCGCGCGCGCAGCGGCCAGCTAGTTTGACGCGAACGACGCGGCCGCGGTGGCACTGACCGATAGGCGCATCCCAGCGGGCACTTCAGTGCGAGTCGGCGAATTGGGCGGGCGCGGAATCCTGACAACGTCGCAGAAGCGCGGAACAGACTTTGAAGGGACAGAACCAACGAAGCAACGATGGCCAACTTCAGAAAAACTAACCTGAGACAAAAGCCGCCACGAGAGAGAAAGCCAGGTCGCTAGAGGGGATAGCGCAATCACGAAAGAAAAAAACCATTTGCATGGCGATCCGCGTGAAAACTCCCTTGCGCTCAGCGGCAGCGCGGCATTCAACCCGTGCACAGTTGCAAGCACATGCGGTAAACACAATGCAGACAAACATGCTGTCACGCAGCGGCGCGCGAGCGAAGAATCCAAAGAGAAGGGAGGAAGATTAAAGGTGGATGTCTGTCATTGGATACATGATACTGAAGCCACAACATAGTCAAGCAAAACGACCTTCAGCACGCGCCCCAGCTGTCGACCGCGAGGGTGGACGAGAAGAGAAGCCGGAGGGAGGAAGGAATAGGCCCAGGACACAAGGTAGACGGCCAAGGCGAAGGACAGAGCGAATAGGAGCGAGCGACACGACGGGAGAGCGGACGAGGACAAAAAAAAACGAAAGAGGAAGAGAGAGGGGAAGAAAGAGAGAGAGAGAGAGAGAAAGAAACAAAAAAAAAGACAGAGGGAGGGAGAGAGTGAGAGAAAGAGAAAGAGGAGGGAGCAAACGGAACATTGAAAAGGGCCGGGAGACAGAAGGGGGGCGGAGGATGGAAGGAGCAAGGGGACTCAAAGAGGAGGGAGAAGAGAGGGACTGACAACGGAGCAGGGAGGAGAGGGGAACGGAGAACGACGCGGAGGAAGAGAGGACGAGCTCAAGCAGAAGCGAGAGAGAAAGAGAGAGAGAGAGAGACAGAGAGTGGAGGGAGCAGGGACGATATAGAAAGCGGCAGGGGGACAAAAGGGAGGACGGAGGAAGAAACAGGATTCAAAGAGGTGGGAAAAGAAGGAAGACAATGACAACGGAGAGA